TAGTGTAAATTTATGGACAAAGAAAGGCAAGTGTTGTTTCACATCAGGCTGCAAGTGGGACTGCCTGCGGGAGTCCCACATAACGCCACGACTGCCCATGTATTTATGTGGGTTTAAGTGGGTTGCCCACAAAAATTACATGTCTTGTTCACGGACATCGCTTGCCCACATAACTTGTAGACAGAAGGCATAATAGATCAATCGTTACACTAAAGCTTCCCAACACAGCTATGGGTTGGATTTTGCTTTGTGGAGCTCGCCGTCAACAACCTGCTCATGCGGACCTTGTTAATTTGGTCGAGATCCTAGACATTGTTGTTGCTCACCTTCAATTAGCCGCTGCTTGATACCTCGCCGGTCACTAGATTTAACCGTTCATCACACTCTTAACCTTAGATTGTGATAGTGGTGCCAGAGAATGGGATGGTCATGGAGCAGAGGGGATGGCGGGAGGTTCTTCGGCCATGGAAGAGCTAGCCGACAGAGTGCTTCTCATGATGATGTGGATGTCCTCGCTTCGGTGGTCGCAGCACGTCAAGTCCCGCCGCTACGGCACGGCCATGGAAGCCCTGATCACCTGCTGCTTCTTCACGTTCGTCACCATCGCGCTGTCGGAGAAGCCGTCGCCGTCAGTGCTTCCATGCTGGCGGCACCCCTCACAGAAAACCCAGCGTCTAGTGTTTGTATCGAGGAGGGATTATGTGGGTTATGTGGGCTAGATGCGGGCCTGGCGGGATGGCCCACAAATCCGATGCATTTTCTTCCTCAACCGTGGGCGTCCACGAATGACGTTATGCGGGCTTGATTAAGCAGAGCCGCGGACGGCCCGTTCTCACTTGCAGCCTGAGTTTCACATTTAGATCATCTACCAACGCTAAACACAACAATAACGTGAGCTGAAATACTAGAGAAAATGCACACACAAATTAAGAAAAAATACAGCTTTAAAAATCGGGTAACTAAACACGGATGGAAAGACGTCCAGTGAGAGTTGGGCATGCGTTGCTTTCCCGATCCTAACCGTACACACTTTTTCCACACACCTGTTTTTGATGAAGCATGCGTCCCACCAAAAAAGTATCATTTCCTATGACTTTGTTTGAAAACCCACTACTACATGACACTGATGTTGGTTCCTTCTCAACTACTAGAAGTTCACTTCTTCGCAAAGAAAAGATTTTTGAATGATGACAGACAAATGCATCATCAATATTAATAGGCCAAAATAAATAAGTATTTTTTGGAGGTGGCGAAAAGGTAGAATATATGTAGTACCCACTCACATGGGGAAATTAGGAAGAACATTCAGGCCTCCTTTGGTTTGGAGGAATTTCATAGGAATTCTAGATGATAGGATTCTTATAGGATTTTTTTCTTTAGAGCCCTTTGGTTCATAGGAATGGATTCCTATTCCTATATAGGATTGGTTCCTATCCTTCACATTTCATAGGAAAATAAAAATGAGCCTAGACTCAATGGAAAAATTCCTTTGGTGTCAACCAAATGACATCTTGTTTCCTATTCCTACTCATAGGATTTGAGATACATGTCATCTCATTTCCTACAAGATTCCTATTCCTACGATAATCCTATCCTATGAACCAAAAGAGGCCTGAAAATGTATAGTGTTGCCAGAAACAAAAAGGAGGAGGAGAAGAAATTGATGGGTATGCATTGAAACTGTCGCTGGCGGGCAAACAACGAAGAGCTGATGTTTACATAGTTTATTTTCACATGGCTAACAACTATACTCTCTGCTGCCTGACACCAATGCAACAGTGGTGTTCCTATGAAGGACAAAACAACTTTCTTATTTATTTTTTCTTCTGATTTTCTGCCGGAACACATCCGGGAAGCAAATAGTTGTCGATCTCAGACAGTTTTGACAAAATCTGTCAGATTACAAAAACAACTGAGCTGCTTGAGCAGACAAAGCTGACAAATTACTCTACAGAGTGTATATCTCTTCTTTTTCTTCCCCTAGAAACAGAAGAGAAATCCATATCACAACCTCGAACTATCACCAAAGTATATACAACACTAAACTATAAAACTGTCTACTTTACAACCTTAAACTATCAAAACCGGAACAAAAACAACCCTGGACTGCTTCTTTTTTCTCAAGAAAACGCAAAAGAGTTTGTGTTTCATTGCATTGAACAAGAAGACATCGGGGGTACAACCTCCAGGAAGGAGGGACACACACACACGCACGCACGCACGCACGCGCGCGCGCGCCCACACACACACACGACTGTCCTCACCAAGTGACTACATCTAGGCGAGGAGGTGCCCTCAACTACAGACACGCAACGACATTAGGCCTCGCCCAGCCTTGCCTCCATCTAAAAATGCGCGAGGTGCCGAGACCCGGAGCAACAGAGGCGGCACTGCCAGACACCTTCAGGGAGGATTGTCCTGGACTACTTTTTGGCTGGTCAACAGTCTAGTCAGCATCCAGTTAGCCACCAAGTCACCCATGTCCCACATAACCCTAACTAGTTTTTTTCTTTTGTTTGTCAGATTGAATATAAGGGTACTATGGATTTTTGGGAAAAAATTCAAAAAAATCTAGGCACTTCCATTTTTTTTGGCAAAATTTGATCCAAAATGGCTTTGAATTTGAGTTTGAATTTTAATTCCATTTTTTATTCAAGGAAAACTTGTTGAAACTT